TGTCCGAGCCGCCGCGCCGTGGAGACGGGCCTCGTCGTGAAGCAGTCGGGGGCCCCCAAGCTTTGAGCCGCCCGCTGGGTGTCCGAGGTGGCCCAGCACTGGTTCCAGCCAGCATGACGGGCGGGCAGGTTCGAGGTTCTGGGTTGGACTTTTTTAATATATATATATATATATATTTATATATATATATATATATATATTTATTTATTTTTTTTCTCTCTCTCTCTCTCTCCGGGGGCCGTTTCAGGCCCCAGGATCGTCAAAAACGGATCCGGGGTGAAAAAATGCACCATATGTACCGTGGGAGGGGTCAGGGGACCGCTTTTGAGCGGATTTGGCTTCATCTCCTCCCGACCGATTTTCTGGGGTCCCAACAAGTTCAAATCTCCCTGCTGCCTTGAACCCCAAACGGTGCGGTGACCGCAAATTGTGGTGAGTCAATGGGGATTCGGGGGGACTGCAGTGTTTTTGGACTGGGTCGTTCTCTGAGGACGTCTCGGGCGACTTGGGTCTCCGGGGTCCCCAAATCGTGCGGTGAGTGAGCGTGCGGTGAGGTCTGTCGGGACTTCGACGTCATCGCACGGTCCCTCACCGCATTGTTTAGGGCACCGAAATGAGAGGAGCGAGACGTTGGTACGTAGTTTTCCAGGTTGTCTTGTTGTCCCGCGTGGCCAGAGACGATTGGCCGCGTGCGATTGGCCGAGGGCCGCTAAAGACTCTGGAACTCTCAGAACGTATCCTGAGCCAATCGTATCATGATATCATGTTCGTTTTGCTCTGGGCTGGGGAGTGTGCGCCCGTATTTGTCCTTGCCGCGGCGTGGCACCGCCCACCCCCTGCGCGTCGGGGGGGGTCTCGTAGTGAGACGGAGCGAGCGGAATGGAGCTTCCTTCTGCTCCTCCACCCTCACCCCATCCGTCTCCATCCTCTTCCATACTGCTCCCATCTGAGGCGTTCCAGACATGGCCTCGTCTTCGAGGACCGAGGGAGTTGCCACTTCTTCCTCGGTGGAGGGCGGTGGAAGGGCGGCGGAAGGCGTCGGAAGTAGCACAAGGGCATCTCCGCCAGCGGAAGGCGACGGAAGGCCGGCGGAACCCAGCGGAAATAAAAGATGCGCCCCCGAGAGTGTTTTTTTTTTTGTTCAGGGTTTCCAGAACGGGCCATCTGTTTCGAGGGGTCCATGGCTGATTCCTCTGTTGTAAACTGCGCGACATCGCATTTGGCTTTGTGATTCATTCCAGGCGTCGAAGTAGGTCAAGAACTCTTCCGCCAACGACCTCCTGCTACGCATTGTGCCAGCGAGCTTTGTCCTCCATGGGAGGGCGCGCCTGGCTAAGGGGCCCTTCTAGCAGCATGGCCGCCCCACTTATCTCTCAGCGGACGCGACGACACGACACGACTGAGGACGACGACGACGGCGACGACGGCGACGACATGACGAGGACCGACAGGGAGAAGTGAACGAGGGCGAGGTGAAGGTCAGAGCGACGGCCATGACCAGGACCAGGAGCAGCACGAGCATGAGCGCAATGGGGCGCTCTAGCCGACAACAGGGCAAGCGCCTGCAAAGACTCGTGCTGCTGAACAGTTTTGCTGCGCAGGAGAAGGAGGAGGAGAAGAAGGAGGAGGAGGAAGAGGAGGAGGATGAGGAGGAGGAGGATGAGGAGGAGGAGGAGGGCAAGCCACGGCGCCATGACCTCCCGAGCCGCCAGCCCCGGCCGGCGTCGCGCGGGCAGCCCCCTGGGGGGTCGAGGCTTGCGCACGCCGCGGGCGCCATGGCGGCGCCGCGGCCGCAACGCGGCGGCAGCAGCGCCGTGCGGCAGCAGCGCCGCCCGGCAGCAGGCCGCCTCCTCTCCACCGGCAAGGTGGCCTCAGGAACCACCGCGCGCTGCTCGGCCACGCGCAGAGGGGGGTGGGGGGAGGGGGGAAGGGCTTCTCAGAAGCACTCCTGCTTCTCCGAAGGCGCGGGCCTTCTCTATAGATGCGAGGCTGGCGCCTTCTAAGAAGCCCTCCCCCCCTCCCTCCACCCCCTTTGTGCGCGCCGCCAAGCTGCTTACAGGCAGTGCTGGCTGCGAGCTGCCCTCGAGACCCCGCGGCCCTGCGCAGGGTGGGCTTCGCTGGCGTGGCGAGGCGGGTCCGGCGTGGCACGCCAACCCTGCGGCCGAGGCACGTCGAAGAGGTGCAGGGAGCCTCCGCGGCTTCGCGCGGCCGAGGAGCCGTCGGCCATGCACAGGTGGCGCCGGAGCAGGAGCCGCTGGTTGCCGCTCGACGTGCGCAGGAGCGAGGAGAGCATGGCCGGCAGGTCGAGGCCGAGGCCGAAGCGAAGAGAACGGGCCTCCGCCGCGGAGGGGCGGGCGGAGGCCAGGTGGCGCGCGGGGTGTCTATAGGCAGAGTGGCGAGCCCGTCCGCGAGAGCGCCATGCCGCGGGTCGAAGGGCTCGTCAAGCATCTCGCCATCGCCCAGAGCGAACAACTCGCTATAGTTCCCCCTCCGAGCCGCGTCTGCGACCGCGACCGCAGCTGCAGCCGCGCCCGCAGCTGGAAGGAAGAAGAAGAAGAAGAAGAAGAAGAAGAAGAAGACCATCACGAGAAAGACGCAATAGTTTTCTCCTCCCAGACGCGGCCGCAGCCCTGGCCAGGGCCGCGAACGCAGCCGCGGCCGCAGCTGAAAGACAAGTGCCGAGGGCGGGCGCGCTGCCCCGCGCATCTCAACGGCCTCCCGGTGGAGCCCGCGTGCCTCTGCAGGCTCCAAGCGCACCGAGCAGCTGGGAGCGATTTGACGCGCCCTCATCTTTGCCATCCTCCTCTGCGATTTGACGCGCCGCCATATGTACTTGCCACAAAGATGCAGACCCTCCCCGGGGCTTACAACATCCTCCCCCTTCGTCCGCACCGATTGAGGCGTTCTCCGAAGCGGTGGGCGTCTGCGAGGTGTGGGGGGGTGGCGTACCTGGACCTGCCGGCTTCGCTGCGGGGCAGCTCCGGGTTACATCGTCCCAGCGGGCTTGCCACGCTGGCGGCCAGCGGGAGGATGGTGGCGGGAGGGAGGGGTGAGGGAGGAGGGAGGACGAGAGGGAGGCGGGGAGCAGGGAGGAGGGACGGGGAGAGGCAGGGAGGGGTGCGGGAGGGGGGAGGGAGGGGGGAGGGAGGAGGAGGGCGGGCGGAGGGAGGGCGAAAGGAGCTCCTCCTCCTCCTCCTCCTCTTTCTTCTTATCCTCCTCCTCCTCCTCTTTCTCCTCCTCCTCCTCCTCCTCCTCCTCTTCCTCCTGAATATCATCAGCGCAGGGTGCAAAAGTGGGCCCCGTCTTGTCGCGCAAGGCGCGCGGCAGGGCACGACGTCAGCGCGAGCGGGCCCAGTTTGGCGTTGTCCGTTTCGCGCGCAGCGGGCGCGACGAGGGAGGAGCGGCGAGGGGGGAGCGTTTTGGGGAAGTTTCGGGCCATGCGCTCCTGGCAAGAGTGCCCCCTGGCGGCAGAGTTCTGTGATGTGAGCTGCTCTTTCTCCGTGCAGTGAGTGGCGGGCAGGTGCGTGCAGTGCGCTGGCCTTCTGCCAAGGGATAGGAGTGCGGGGTTCTAGGCCTTCCAATGGTGTCGAGCTACTTGGGGTCGGAGTATCGCGCCGCATTGTCGATGAATCGGCGACGCGGCTCGATGAGGAGCCCGATCTTCTCCACGCCGATGGCCCCCCAGTGCATCGGCGAAGCATCGGCGATGCGGCGCGATCCTCCGACCCCCATGGACCCCCGACGACGTGATTTTTTCACGACGTCGATCCCGAAAAGTCTCGACCCATTCCCTAGGACCGTTTTTTCATCCTGAGTCCTTTTCTGACGGTCCCATAGCCCGGTAAGGGCCCCCAGATGCCGAAAAAGCCTTCCGTCGAGATTTTTCGCAGGAAAGGGGGGGTTTGGGTTACTCGGACCCCATCTGGGAGGCCTCTAGGAAGGGGCGGCGGGGGAAGGGGCGGGTGGGGGTTCTGTAGCAAACCATGGGAGCCTTGTAGAGTGTATTAGGTTGTGTAGTCCTTCATTGGGGCCGTAGATGGTCCCACAATTCCTTGCGTTTTTGAAGATGTTGTCCAGATTTGGTCAACATCTGGTCGAAATCTGGTCGAAACTTTGACAAAATATGGACGAAAGGGTGGACAGGGGAGGTCGAAATGAAACCTGAACGAAGTCTGGTCGAAATCACGTTTATGATAGGGCCGCGGAGGTCCACAGAGGCTTCCATGAAGGCTCACCCAAAGTAGCGTGCGCTAGCGTCTTGTGTCGATTCGAGAGCTCCGATTCAGTGTCGATGAGCGCCGCCGATCAACGTCAAGATGCCGTGGGAGGCTCCCGTGAGTTGCCACCGGAGCTCTGGGGAGGAGGCGTACGCGCCTGGATGCCTTGAATTTCCTGGGTCCGCCTCATGCGGGCACGAGGGTCCCTCCTATGTAGGGCGCGAGGCGCAGGGGAGGCAAGGTGCAGGGGGGCGCTGGTGGCATCGCCCGCAGGGCGGCGACGAGTGCGTCCAGCGCTCGTCGGCCATGCGATCAGCGCTCGTCGGCCGAGCTCCTCGGGAGGCGAGGGAGGCGAGGCGCGGGAGGGGGGCCCTCGGGACCCTGCCCATCGCGGTCCCCTGCGTCCCCGTGCCGCGGCCGAGGCCGACGGGGCCCCCTGTTCACGGCCGGCGCGGCGGAGTGCATCCTGTCCGACGCCGAGATCCAGGAGAGAACCGACGATGATGATGACGATGGTGATGATAATGGTGGTGATGATGACGACGATGACGCTGCTGCTGATGATGAGGATGATGATTCTGATGATGATGAAGATGATGATCCTGATGATGATGCTGCTGGTAATACTGATGATTATGAAGATGCTGCTGCTTCTGATGATGATGGTGCTGATGCTGATGCTGATGCTGATGATGCTGGTGATGGTGATGTTGATCATAATGATGACGGTGCTGATAATGCTGATGTTGCTGATGATGCTGATGACTGTGATGGTTATGGTGG